AAAAAAAAAAAAAGGAGAAATTTTTTTATTAGAAAAAAAAAACTATACCTATGAATGTCAAAGGGAAAGTCTCCTGTTCTTTTTATCAATTTTTTTTTCCATTTACTTTCTTTACTTTTTACTAATTTCTTGCTTTTACTATTTTTATACCCATCACGCAAGGATGAGGAGTATATTCACTTTGTCAAAACGTTTGCAATGTCCAGATGGAAGCATCAGAGACCCCATAAAATATATTCTTAATCAGCATCAAATTGTAAATCGATTTAAGCATGTCCATTTGTCCGTCTGTCCGTGTACGAAAGCGAAGCTATTGAGCTCAAATGCGACAGGTTGGTATCGAAAATAGACCGAATTGGTCCTTAGTATTAGTACCAGCGCTATTGGTGTCAAACGAAAGGACTCGCAGAGTAGGAGGCGACAGGATAAGTGTGTTAATTCTAAATTAACTGTGGTAGACGTCATGACCTGGCGCCCAAAGAATTTAACTTTCTCGCTAATTTACTCACTTAGTTTATCGCGTTCTTTCTTCCTGTTTTCGACTCGCTATCGCAAATTGCATATGATATAATTTCTCCCAATGATGGTTTTTTTCTCTTTTTCTCATTTCACGTATCGAAACATTAAAATTCTTCCCCCTTTAATTACAATAAACAAAATATGAAAATAATAAATTTTCCAGTTTAACAATATGTATCTTAATCGAAAAGAAGACGGAAAGAAATGACTGATAGAAAGGAAAGAGAAAATTATCAAAAATTTTATTATTTGGAAAATATCTTAAAACATCTGCTTAAAAAGTGTGTGTTTAATCTATTGTTGCTAACATTTGGTGTTAGCTATCAAAATACCAGCACTCGAGAGCAATCAAAAGGCATATAAAACGTTTTTATAAATGAAAATGAAAATAAAATTCATATAAAGACTTTCAATACGCGCTTAGTATGAAATTCTCATTGTACTAAACATGCCTGGTTTACTGGCTCATTGACTATGGTTTCACAAACAAAAAAAAAAAAAAAAAAAAAAAAAAAAAAAAAAAAACCAGCCAGGACGGTAAAATCAGCAGCTTACCTTTCGTGGTGTACTTCTTCAAAATGAACTGATCTTTAAGATGATGTTGGTGGTTGTTTGTTTAGTCATTTAATAGATAAGGTAAGCATATTGGAATCAAATAAACATACCTTTACAATCACATTCCAATTGTCTAATGACGTAATGGTAGATAGAGAAGAACCGAAGGCAGACAGACAGACAGACAAAGAGAGAGAGTGAATGAAAGAAAAAATCAAATAAAAGACGGCTACAATCAAAAGATCATCTAAAACTCATAGGCAATAGCAGATGTTGACTACTTTGACCTAAGGCAAAAAATATATAAGTAAATGTGTGTGTGTGTGTGTGTGCATCATATACAAGAGGAACAAATTAAGTTAGAAATTAAATCAATTTTAAAAACCAAGCATACAAAGGAGAAGTCATTATATAATATTTATGACAAGTATCCGATCTGTCATTGCTTTTCGAATTATTTGTATTTTAAAAGTTAATCCACTTAATCCGCTTGTCGTCAACCATCATCCATCTATCGCATTAACATAATACATGAAACGAAACGATTTCACTTTGAATGCTCCTTTCATCTGAGATTTAACAACTTTTTAGAACAATTGCTTTTATTTTCTCTTAAAAAAAAAAAAATCACAATCGCATCATATGAGTACTTGTACTTCTAATGGAAAACAATTCACCTCTCTAAGGATAATAGATTTTTCATATTAGTTAGGAATGACTTTACAAGAATTTTTCGATTATTTTCCCGGTAAATAGGATTATGGCTTAAAATTCACCATCGTTCATGTGTTCGCATGCTGTGTGTCTGTGTGTGCAAAACAATATCGCTTTCAAGTGCGTAGACTTCAGACCATTCTTTCCAAAAGGTGCCCGATGATCTCGAGTTCATTCTTTTTTTGAGTGAATTATTAGTCAATTTGGAATTTGTTTGAAGATGAGAATTTATTAACTCTTGTCGGTCGGACACGAGCTATGATTTTAACAGAATGACTTAAGCAAATCTCTTGTTATTGTATTGCAAATAATTGTAATTCGATTATTAGACCAAGACCCATGTCAAGATGTTAGGTGGAAAATCTCTTTCTTAAGCCAATCATTGTACACGAGGATAAGTGATTTGCTTTTCTTGACGGTTTTGAATATTCTTCGTACAATTCCGTTTACACTTTCAATCGCCAATCATCATAGTTGCTTCTGTGCTTGTGCAGTCAGTCATTGATACTATTGGTATTTGGTTATCTATCTATCTATCTATCTATCGATTGATATTTTAAAAATTTCATATAAACGAGGTGATTAGAGAATGTTTGTGTTTCCGGCCTTTAGATAAAGATGAGAAAAGATTTGTTCTCAAGCAACTAACCGCCAGCCAGATAAAGTTTCTTTTTCAACACATCTTGTTGCGTGGAATGCAATTGAACAAA